GTTGGAGTGGAGAGCTCTTGGAGAAGAGGGGAGACAAGCTTCCCTGAGTAGAGGGCCTATAAAGGCAGCCAGCCAGTGGCAAAGAAGCCAGCAAACAACTGGAAACAGGGGAGTTAGTGTCCACGATTGTAAGGAGAGTTTGGGGGAAGGGCGGTGGCATTCTGTTTTTGTGTTGTGTGGGGTTTTCTTTGTCCTTGACAGGCGCTTAGGTGGGAAGGGTGTGACAGACACAGAGGCAGCAGTGGTAGTGACCCAAGCAATGGAAGAGACAGTGAAGATGACCAGATGTGGAAGCTGCGGGATGATCCTGGAGCAGGTACCTGAAAAGAGCTTGTTTGTATGAACTGCCGCCTGAGAGAGCTGATGGAAGAGAAGAGCCGAGGTTTGGAGATGCAGGTGGAAACTATGGTTGAGTTTTGAAGGTGATTCGAGCAGATGATGGAGGGAAGGCGAGAGGAGGCTGAGGGGAAAATTCAAGACTGGCAGATCCAAGCTAGACTGGAGAACTCGGAGTGGAGACTGCTGGGTGAGTAAAGTAGCCAGAGGAAATGTGATGATGAGAACTGGACAGAAGAAAAGACCAGCTAGTGAAGGAGAACTAGAGCTCAGGAATAGGTTTGCTGAGTTGGAAAATGAAGAAGGCTTGCAGCTGGGATTAGCAGATGGTAGGAGGGCCAGGAAGAAGGGTAGAGCAGCTAGTCCTACAAGAAGGGAAGAAGAGTCAATGTACATACCCAGAGTTCGGAGCCCCAGGAGGACAGAGGATGACTTGCAGTAGATCGCAAGGGAGAACAAAAGACAAGAGGACTTGCATGCAGAAGGAACAGAAGGAAAGCTGGAGAATGGCACTAACACAAGCAAAAGGCAGGTCTACGTGATTGGTGACTCCTTACTAAGAAGACTGGACAGGCCTGGCACCAGAGCTGATCCAAAGAACAGAAGGGTGAGCTGTCTGCCGGGAGCTAAGTTATGGCATGTGAACCTGAGGCTGAAGAAGATCCTTATGGGAGCCTGAAAGAATCCACTGATTGTCCTTCATGTGGGAACAAATGATACTGCTAGATTCTTGCTGGAACGGCTCAAGGGAGATGATGCCGGGCTGGGGAAGACACTTAAAGAAATGGAGGCTCAGGTGATCTTTAATGGGATTCTACCTGTCCCTAGAGGAGGAGAATGGAGGTGAGACAAGATGATGATGATCAACAGACGGCTCAGGCAGTGGAGCTTTAAGGATCTCTGGGATGTTCGACCACTGGGAGGCATTCATGGACAGAGGTCTGTTCTCATGGGACGGACTCCAGCTGAGTAGGGAGGGAAATAGATTCTGGGATGGAGGGAGGCACAACTGATTAAAAGAGCTTTAAGCTTGGAATTCAGGGGAGACAGTTGAGAGATGCTCATGTAATCTCCACCTCTGATTCTAATATTGAGCAGGAGAAAATCAAGTAAGAGCAAATACAGCAATGGAGAAAGGAACAGCAGAGGGTAGGAGAATGGACATCAAGAAGAAAGAGAGTTCCCATACCAATGATGCTAACACTCAAGTAGTAGGTGATACTGGCAGTAGCATGACTGTAACTAATCGCGTGAGGAACCCTGGCAAAGCCGAGCGGAAAAAAATAAAGTGTCTATACACCAATGCAAGAAGCTATGGGAACATAATGGAGGAACTAGATATACTGGTGCAGGAAGTGAAACCAGATGTTACAGGGATAACAGAAACATGGTGGAATAGTAGCCACGACTGGAGTACAGACATTGAAGAGTATGTGCCGTTCAGGAAAGACAGAAATGAAGGGAAGGTGGTGCAGTAGCATTGTATATTAACGATGAGGTAGACTGACTGTAAAGAAATTAGAAGTGCTAGAAAGGATAAAGCAGAGTGTGTTTGGGTCAAAATCACTTTGCGGAAGAAGGCTACCAGGTCTGCAACTAGGGGCCTTGATTTCAAAATGGGACAATTTAAAATATTAAGGCAATTAACTAGGGGAATGGACTGGGATGAAGAACTCAAGGATTTGAAAGGGGGGGAGGCTTAGAATTACTTTAAGTCAAAGTTACAGAAGCTCTCTGAAGCCTGCATCCCAAGCAAAGGGAAAAACTCTAGGGACGGGTTGTGGACCAGGCTGGATGAACAAGCGTCTCGCACTGGTGATTAAGAGAAAGCAGAAATCCTACTAAGAATGGAAGATGGGAGGGATCAGCAAGGAAAGCTACCTCTTGGAGATCAGCAAGTGCAGGGAAAAGTGAGAACTGCCCAGAGCCAAGCAGAGCTGGACCTTGCAAAGGGAATTAAAACTAACAGTAAATGGTTCTGTAGCCATATACACAAAAAGGGACTGCCCAACACGGAGGATGTGTTGGAGAGTGAAGAGAATCTAGGCAGGGCAAATGCCTAAACAAATACTTTGCCTCCG